TTTCATTTCATCACTGGCGGGAGGCAAATATTTTCGTCTCCAATTTGGCAGCCGTAACCAGCTGGGATGCAGAAACCAGTAGAACCGGCCTCCAAATAATTTTGTCTCTAAAATTTCATGCGGCCACCAATGGCTTTTGCCTCCCTTTAGGCGTTGGCCTTCTAAACATTTTGCCTCCAACTTTGGCTGCGGCCGCCAATAGAAAGGCAGAGGAAAAAACATTTTCCTTTTTAATATTGTTCGGAGGCAACCGCTGTTTATCAGCACTGCCTAATTTTGTGTAAATTGTCAAGTCAATTTGTTTAACTGTTATTGATGAAAAATAAAAATAAATAAATGGCGGCAGTTAGCAAAAGTTTGCGGCTTTAAAAGTTAACTAAAATAGCAACCAAATATAACATATGTAGGAAGTTTTAGTTGAAAATATTTTATATTTAAAATATGACTAGTCCACGCTTATAAATACTGGGAATATAGGCGCTAAATATCAACAACTTATTATGTGTCAATTTACGGGTCTATTAAAAAACTCAGGCATATTATTTATGCCTAAGTTTTTACATTTTTAAAGTTATGTTATATTTACTAAATTATAATATTTAGTAAATACGATAAATTTTAATTAAAATCTTCCTTTCTACTAGAAAATAACTAGATAAATCAAAAATAAATAAAAAATTTGTCAAGTTTTTTTTTAAAAAGAATGGATCTATTGAGATTTATCATAATATTATTTATAATTAAATTTTTATATTATTATAAATTATATTTTTATACAAAAATATTTTATTTTAGTTAAATATTTAGGAGTCTTAAGTTTTATGGATCTTAAATGTTTAACTAGAACTTTTCGTAAAAGATCAAAGTGCTTGTGAATCTCAATGAAAAAAAATCAATTTTAATTTTTTTGACCTTTTCTTCCTGATATTCATGATACGTAATTAATTAAAATTATAATTCATGATACGTAATTAATTAAAATTATAAGTTGAAATTTGTTTTAGGTTGATTTCTTTAATATAAAAATGTTTTTTAATAAGAAAATCAGGAATATATAAAAAAAAAATAATAACAAAAAGATTTCTTAAGAAGTCTTAAGTTAGTTTTAGCCTCTTCAGAAATAATTAGATAAGCAATTTTTTTTTGGCTTCTTAGTGTAAAAATATTTTTTCAACCACTTTTTCCTTATTTACATGTAAATAATTGCACAATTTGATTTTATATATATGAGACTTTCAGATTTAGGTATTTTCAATATTTTTTTATTGTTCAAGATTTATTTTCTTTATATTTTATAAGTTGATAACTCAGCTATATTAGTCATAAGGCTATTAGTTTATGTTGTATGCGTAATTAAATGCGGACAATCATGCATATTTTCATTTGTAACAAAATTGTCATTATTCACATAAAAGCAAAAAAATTCGATTTAAGACAGCTAACCACAAAAATATTTTTGGTTAGCTAAGTCTTTTCTTTGCAATTTTTCTAAATTTTTTTTTTTTTAATTATTCAAGCATAGTGACAATTTTGTTGTATACTTATATACAACTATATACAATATTATACAACTATAAATGCATGTTTAGATAAGCACTGTGTGTTGCTGTGTGATTTCAGCACTGTGTGTTGCTGTGTGATTTCAGCAGTTTCTTAACTGGCCATACAGATTATTTTGTAGTAGTCATATTTAAGTTTGACAGTAGTCTTGTGAAGTCTTGTGAAGATTGTTCTTGGAATACTATTAATCTTTTAATTGTAGTCTTTAGGTCCTCAAAGCCAGGCTTGTTTTCAATAGTTTTGGGCTTCATTTCTTAATGTTAGTCATATGAAATGGTTCCTAGTTTTTCTCAATTAGTTGTACTTCATTGCTTTTGAAATACCTTAAAATAAGTGAATTATTAAGTTTCACTTATTTAAGGCCTTGGTTTTGTTCAGAAAAAATAAAACTTTAATTGCGGGGAATGTTTAATGCAGAGAACTGTTTCTAAACATTTGCATAATAGCCTGCTGAAAAAATCAATTGAATTTTAATTAACTGCTGAATTTCAAAATTTTTATGATTTTAGGTTTGAATTGAAATAATATTAAGTACATTCAGTAAAAATGTCATTTGAGAAAATTTGTGAAAGGTTGCATTAAAATGCATTGAAAAACTGAAAAAAATTGGCTTTTTTGAACCTTAACACACTACTGTAAATTTAGTTTTCTGATCATAAAAACATAAGGTATTTTTTTGAAAATATTTGTGTAATTATAGTCGCATTTATAAAAATTATAGTGGCAAAATTATAGTATATATATGTATATATATATATATATATATATATATATATATATATATATATATATATATATATATATATATATATATATATATATATATATATATATATATATATATATATATATATATATATATATGTATTAAAATATAAAAATCAATCTAAAACTTCATTGCCGGGATAAACTCAATCTGAAGCTTCATCGTTAACAGGAGTTAATGGAAACACAATACAATCAGTTTTAAGAAGGTATGATCGAACAAATTCAACACTTCCTGGTTCTAGAGGTGGCGCTTGTCACGTTATTTAAATTGAAGAGATTAGAAGAAGAATTGAAGAGCTTATAATCGATAATACAACAACAACTATAATTGAAATTAAATATGCTTTAAATGTAAATGTATCAATTAAAACTGTCTGGAGATGGGTGACCAATCTCAGATACACATATAAAATTACTCAACCAATTTTTGAAAAGAAGAAACAACAATGATGTAAAAAATCTTCGTATTGAATATGTTAGGTGGTATACTTCAATCTCCTCTATTAATCGCTATCAAAATAATGTTTTTATTGATGAAAGTCCATTTAATTTACATATGTTTCGCAGTCATTCATAGGCAAGAAGAGGAGTAACACCAAACTCGATCATTCGCTCTAGGCAGCGTAACGTTTTGATGATATTGGCTGTCAATAGTTTAAATATTATTCACTGCGAATCTGTCAGTATGTCAGTCAACACAGTTTTGTTTCAAGAATATATTGATGAAGTTGTACAAGTTTTGGGGACAGAGGAAGAATTCACACTGGTGATGGATGATGTCAAAATCCATCATAATGTTGAGATGAGGGCTCAGAACATTCAAATAAAATATTTGCCACCATATTCACCATTCTTGAATCTGTGTGAAGATATTTTTTTTATCTTAAGAATAACGTGCGAAGAAATATGGCCCCAGCTGGAAGAAATGAACTAATTTCAAGAATGCGTGAAGCATGTTTATCTATTCCTAATGTTAACTTGTCAAATTATTACACACACTGCAAAAGCTTATTCGAAGTGTATCTTAGTTCAGATGACATACCTCAACAGTAAATGGAAAATAAACATTATATTTTAAATAAAATAAAATTTTAAATAGTTTTAAAAAATTGAATAAAAAAAATTAAAATATATAAAGAAAACCTTTTTTTTAAAAAATAATATAGAATGTTGAGATTGCGCGTTAAATGTTTAAATTGAAAATCACGATTGTTTTAATTGAAAATCACAATGTTTTAATTGATTGTCACGGTGTTTTAAATGAATGTCATGGTTGTTTTAAATGGTTGTCATGATTGTTTTAAATGGATGTAAAAACCTGTATTACATATAGTCATATAGATGGTGATTTAAAAAAATAAGTTATTAATGAGAAACAAAATTAAACTAATAATAATAATAACAACAATAATAAAGATGATAATAATTATAAAAATATTAAATAATCATATAAAAGTAATAAAAAATTATAACAAAATTATGTAAAATGTTGTTTTTTTATTTCTAAAATTTTATAATATTTTATATTTATAATTATTTAACATTTTTAATAAAATATCAGTAAAATAGATTGTTTCTTATATAATGTTATGACAAAATTTATTATTCGTAATAATTATCATCTATTTACATTCAATTTTGTTATAGATAAATTATGGCTAAATAAGATAATTTACAAGTTAAATGTAATATTTGAAATTAAAAAAAATGTAATATTGATTATGTAATATTTTAATATCATTATCTAACTTTAGGTTAAGGAAACTGGTGAAAAAGTTTATTTATTTCAGCAGTCTGGAATTATTTTACTGTTGCTCATGGGGTGTTGCTGATTGTAAAATGTGCAATATTGAAATTAAAAGAGGTACACCTGGTGCACCATCTAAAAAAATTTCAACATTATGGACTCATTTGCAATCAAAGCATAGAGATGAACACTCATCTGCAATTGAAATAAAAACATTAGAAGCTGAAAAAAATGGAAAAGAAAATTAAAAGAGAAGAAGGCTAAAGATTATCTTTTAAACAAACAATAATCCTGATCAAATTAAAGGAGAATTATTGTTAGTAATTGGCTTTGTGATGCTTTAAAACCATATAAAACAGTTGCAAATAATCAGGTTTTAAAATTTATAAACTATCTTTCAAAAAAATTTAAAATTCTATCAGAAAAAAATATTCGGACAAAGCTGATTCCAAACATCAAAATAAAGAGTTCAAAATGCAGTAAAGTCAATTTTGAATGCCACATCATACACTATCACTACTAATATTTAGACTTCACCAAGTAATGACTCTTTTATGTCATTTACTGCTCATTGGATAACTGTGGAAAAAAAATTGCTTTTCTGAGATGTATTCCATTTAAAATCTCATACAGGGTGGAATATTTCAGAAGCTTTAAAAAACATCTGTAAAGATTAGGGTTTAAACAACATTCACATTGTTGTTAGAGACAATGCAAGTAATATGATTCTAGCAACAAAAATTGCTGGTTTTGAAAGAATTGGCTGCTTTTGCCATATTTTACATTTAGTGGTGTGAAACTCAGTATACGAGCAGAGTGGTGTTAAAATAATGTTGACAAGATAAATGTAATATTTGAAATTAAATAAACTGTGGTATTGATTATGTAATATTTTAATATCATTATCTAACTTTAGGTTAAGGAAAAAGTTTCAAAAACTAATGGCAAAAGCAATATTCACCAAGTATTAAAGCCAAGCCTCAGCCTTACCTAATGTCATGATAGTTGATTGTAAAACACAATAGGGCAGTACACTTTTAATGTTATATCGTCTACTGTAACAAAAACAGGCTATTAAACTTGCTGAAGATGACATTGAATTCGAAATTTGCTCCGAATCAAAGGTAGAATATTTTAAAAAAAATTTATAAGTTCATATTTTTACTTTTTAAAACCTCATTTATTATGTGGATACTAAGTGACTGGCATCTTATTCCAAAAGTTGTATTAATTCTCGGGGCAATAGATTATGCGAAGTATCAGAGAGTGATACTGCTCTAATTTCAAATATCATTCCTTTGGCCAAAAAACTCAAGATAGAACTTAATAGTAAAACTCAAATATGAGTTGGAACCATGAAAGTGAAAATGAAATGAACCATGAAAAACATTTAACTTGAACAAATAAAGTAAGTGTATTACTTTTTTGTTTGAATAAAGTAATAAATATGAAATAAATAAGCGATTAGTTATAAAATTAAAAAAGCATAAAAAATTTCCTAAACTATATTGATTAATTACAAAAATCAGTTAAATTTTAAATCCATATTTAAAAATTTGTAATCAATTTTTTTATGATTAAAAAGTATAACATGAATAAATTTGAAACTCAATTTAAAACTGAATACATTTCAAAAGCTTTATAAAGTTTTGTTTTAACTGATTTTTTTATATAACTTTTTAATTTTTTAATTTCAAAGTTTGAAAATCATCATCAGCGAAATCAATGTGGAACACAATTTTAGAAGACGATGTATCAGATGATGATGAAGATGATAGATTCCATCTAAATGCAACTGAATCTGCTAAAATTAAGCTTAAAAGGTATATAAATATGATGTGAATAGATGTTGCGGATGATCCATTGTCATATTGAAACTCTATGAAAAGTGAGTTACCAACGCTAGCAAACCTGGCAAAAGTATATTTATATTTGCCTCCAATCTTGACTACAAATGAATGTGAGTTTAAAGTTTCAAAATCAATACAAAAAGAACTTTTTAGACTTGAAAAAAAAATCATTAAACACTTCTTAAATACAATTTAAGAGCACTTTCATACACTACATCTTTATGTGGGGCTCCTGAAGACTTTAAACCACCTAATTCAAACTATTATGATGTATAGGATTCTGAATCATCAGACTCCAAAGAAGAAACACAGATTTTCAAAAAAAATGGTTTATTTTTACTTATAGTATTGAACATTTTTATTGTAAATTATTATATTATAAGTATAATATTTAAATATCTATTTTAAAATATTTTAATATATATATATATATATATATATATATATATATATATATATATATATATATATATATATATATATATATATATATATTTGTGATTTTCCTATGATTTTTTAACTTTCATAATAGATATATTATTTAACTTTTATAGCTTGGAAAAAAGAAACAAAACAGTAAAAATTGTAATTATAAAAAAAAAATTCCTAGCCTTGGCTTATAACCCCTGCTAAAACTATTGTTTAACCAGGGTTGGGGTTGTAAAAATACCTGAATTTGGCTGGGGCGGAGGCCCCAGTCACTTACTATTTGTAATGTGTGATTTAACTGCATTTGAACATATATAATCTATACATGCACATACTTCATGGATAATGCATAAAGTCCAAAAAAATCTTAAAAAAAAATGGTTTAAAGTTATAGACTTTTCTGAAAAGAGTTAAAGCACTCTTGTTCTATCAAGTTCATAATTTTAATTATCAATGGATTTGTGATTAATATTTTTTGTATATTTGTTTTGGTTTGATGTTTTTTGATATAAAATTATTGCATGAAATTTTTATTTTGTTGGTTTGTTTTTTCAAAATTTAAAACTTTATTTAGATAATAATTAAATGGATACACCAGGACCATCAAGTAAAAGAAGTGCTTCGGTCAGTTTTAAATTTTGATTTATTTTTTTATTATCTATAATTATATTTACTCCTTCTAAAAGTTTACTAATTTTAGTTACAATCCACATTGTATTTGTTAGATTAAAAAAATTGAAGTGTTTGATAAGCTTTAAAGAAAGAAATGTTTGAAGTGTTTGATGAAGTTTAATTTAAAAGAAAAAATCAATTGCAAAACAAAATAATAACAAAGTTTGTTTGTACAATCTACAATCACGTATGTCTTTGCTGCCTATTTGATTTAAAATCTTATAAAGATATTTAGCATTGTCATTGCTTATGTAACTAACCAAACTGATATTAAAGGGATTACAATTGCAATTATAAGTAAAAAGGTTTTCTATTTTTAAGCATATATTCTTTTTTTGTTTAAAGAAAGAAATTAGAGGAATAAATTTTTTTATTGTTGGCGGATGCTATAGTAAGTGACTTAAATACTGCAATTAGAATAAAATGGTTCAATAGTTTTTGAATTTTTTCTGGACACACCATATGAATTAAGGTTATGAATAAGTCCAGAATTCCAGACTTAATCAAAAATCATTGATATGCAGTTGAAAACTTGTGGTGGAACACTTGGCTTGTAATTAAGAGATTTTTGTTTCAAGTCCACCTTGCACCTCTATATTAAGCTCTAAACTTTTTTCCACCTAGAGGCTTTGTTCAATAAGGTTTAGCATTTGTTAAATATTTAACCTTTTCTCCATGTAGAGGCTTTTGTTCAATAAGGTTTAGCATTTGTTAAATAGTTAAGAGAGTATTGAGGAGAGTTTTGATTTTTACTATGGATTAACTTGTTTCTGTGGAATCTCAGTAAAAGTGTGGTCATTAGGTTCTAGATCTGAATTACAAGAAAAGTTCATTGTAAATTGTGTAAATTATTTGAAGAGGTAATCTAATCATACCTATGTATAAAAGATGGAATGTTAGAATTATCTTTTTTAATGACACTGAAAAATTAAATTCAGTACTCTGTACAACAACAGTAGTTAAATTCTGTTCAACAGTTATTTTGTATTTAGTACTCTGCTACTAGTATTCAGTACAACCACAGTTATTAAGCTCAGTACTCTGTTCAACAACAGTTATTAAATTCACTACTTTGTAGAATGAGCTTAGTTTTTTTTAAATAAGAACATTTATTTTACTTATTATTGTTAATTATAGTTGAAATTGCTACCTTTTTCAAAATTACTAATACTATATGATCTTGCATTGAATATAAATACAAAAACAAACAAACAAAAAATGAAAAAAATATAAAAAAACTACAAGTACAAGTACAACAATGTTTTTTCTATGTTCTTTTATTGCTGCATTTTTAAGCTATTTCTTTATTACTTTTTGTATTAACTATTATTTTTTATTAATATTTATTAACCCTTAAAAAAAAATTTGGCATAAAATTTTTTTTTTTTTTTGGAAAAATAATTTAATATAAGTGTTTTAAAATAATTTTGAAAAAAAAAAAAATTATCTCAGCAATCAAAAATAAATTTGGTTACCATTTGGCATATATGGACAGTTAGGGAAAATCTAATAGAAATATTAAGTAAAGAAAAAATCAACTAATTTGATATATTTTAGTAGTAAAAACACATTTAAGTGGAAATATGTATGTGCAGTAATCCATATAAGCTATATGTTACTCACTTAATAGTCAGATGTATGGTTATTGGGTATTTTGTTCTCTTTATTTGTTATGAAACTCACGAAAACAGTTTTTTTTGTTATTCAAACAAAGAAAAAGACCACATTTAACACAATAAACTCTACTGTAACCAATTTTGCAGCTGCGACATTTATTTTTCTTTTTAGGGAATTTAGGCCAGTGTGACAAACAATCAAATCTTTCATCATTACCAGGTAGAGGAATTGGAATTTTATGTTTAGGAGCTCTTACTATTTTTGGACGACCTACACTGTTTTCTACAATTTTACCCCTATTTCTTAATGCTGCTGATATGGATGTTGTAAACTGAAATAAGTTAAGTTGATGACATCTTGGTATCAATTGCTGATCTTAATATCTTCTGTAAAGCAGCCATCCAATGTCTAAACAATGAAAAAAAGTTTAGATATACCATCGCATAGTTTTTATTGATGTTCGATAAAGGGAAATGAGCATATCTGATAGGTCTACCCCACCCATTAAAACATTGTACTCCTTTATCATATCTGGGCATGAAATATAAATGTATTTTTTATTCTTGCGATCCCATCTGCGAATGTTAGAATCTTTGGTAGGATCACTATAGTTTGATACAAGGTGGGCATTTATTGTCATACCATTTCATAACAGTTACTCTAGAATTTTCATTTACTTTAAAGCAGCTTTTGCTTTTTTCTTCAGCTCTTTTTCTGATAAAAGCTCACAACTTTTGATTCTGTCTGCTCTTATAGTAGATGTAGCCAAAATTCCAATCTGAGACAGATCAATGCATAACTGAAGAGAGGCAAACCAATTATCAAAAAATAATTAAAATTTTTTTTTTTCTGGTAAAGTTTTACAAAGTTTTTTCACAACATAATCTCCATTGCAGACTTGATTTTCCTGTGCATCTGTATACATAAAAAAAATCATATATTATCCCACTTGACCCAGCATGTACAAAATTTTTTAATCCCTATTTTACTGGCTTCTTGGTATTATATTGTCTAATTCGACTAAACTTAGTTTTGGCTGGAATTATTGGCACATCTATTGAATGATTAGTATCAGGTGGTATTTTTAAACAGTTATTACGTACGTGATTGAGAACTGGGTCAATTTTGTAAAGTCGATTTCCTTTGTTTTCACTAATACCAGCTAATGCATTGTCACTAATATGCAAAAATTGCCTTATTTTTTATATCTATTCAACAATATAATATCTGCAATGGGTGCATAACGAGTTTCAGCTGCCCAATACTTTGTATAAACTGGTAATGAAACTATACTTATCAGCATTTGAATGCCTAAAAACTGCTCTAACTCAATTTTAATCAAGTTAATACTATGGCTTGTCTTTTGAATACTGTATAAATTTGTTTGTATTAGAATTAGTTCCACAAGAACATCATCCCAAAAAGTATTAAAATAGTTTACTGGAGTCATTAGGTCAACATTATCAGGTGGAAGTGGCAAAGACTCACCCAAGAATTTGCTGTTTGTTGTGTGCGGTTTGCAGTTATTCCATAAAAAAACGTGTTTACTTGTTTTCTTTTTTTGCAAAGAAACTAGTTTATCTGTACTAGTTTTTTCAATTTCTACATCATCATTTTCTGACAAGTCTGAAACTTCATCATTATGTAAAACACAACTTTCATTAACTTTATCAATCTCTCCATCCAATTCATCTAACTCAGAGATCTTCATATGGTTCCAATACAATTTGTAGTGCTTCTTCAACAGTGTATCTAATTTTTATATGTTTTTCCATATTTCAAACACTTAAACAATGGCAAAAGTTACAATATCTAAACTTTAGACTAAAGACTCAAAATTATATGCTAGACTGTGACTAGATATACATACTCACATTAAATATAACTAGCTATATAACCAAGTTTACTAAAAAACAAATAAACATAAGAAAAAAATCCAAAATTACTAAAACAGCAAAAACTTCCCGCTTTGTGCAAATATGCTAAATGGCAACCTCTAAATTTTCACTTGATTTTAGAGCCTTGAGAAAAATGCCCAAAAAATATTCTAAAAACAACTATATATATACAACTCTGTTAACTAAAATTAAAAAAACTACATCAGTAAACTAAATATACTAAATAATAATCTTAATAAGGACCCTACTTTTTTATAGCAAATGTGTCACTCAAATCATGAGCTTTTTTTAAGTATTTTAAACAGTTTTGTGATCGAGTAAATACTATTTTTTGAAACAACTATGAGCGAACATATTACAGGGCTTCAAAAAATGGAAAAATCCGTTTTTTCTTTAAGCAGTTCTTACTAAAAGTGGTTGCCAAATGGCAACTGTGGACAGTAAAGGGTTATTTTTTTTTCTTAAAAAATATTATGCTTTTGATGTTGCTTCACTTTTATGTGGAAAGAGTTAGTCAAAAAAGAACACTGAAAAGTCTAATAAAAAAAAAATAAATAAAACTATAAATACTGAAAAATCTAATGTCATTAGGTATTTTTATCCATCATTTGGTGTAATAATTTTTTAGCCTTTTATGTTGTTCTTTAAAATATTTTTAATTACAAATTTTTATGGTTGTTTGTGTGATTTTTTTTATAAGAAACGACAATCTAGTTTGTAAGTTTTACACAATTTTGATAAAAAAGTTATTTAATATTGTTTAAAAATTTTTTTCAAGTTCCAAAATACCATTTTGTTTGGTCTATTAAAGTATATCAACATCTTTATATATTAAAAATTATATATTAAACTGTTAAATTATATATTAAACTGTTTAATTTAATTTTTTTTCTATTAGCCATCTCTTGAAACTCCTTGCAAAAAAAGTCTTTTAAGTACTATTCCTGAAGCACCAAGTTCATGCAGTTCAAAATATATTGATTTTGAAGAAAATCTAATATGCGTTATTTGTCAGGTACATTTTAAACCATTTTGTATTTTTAATTTTAATTTTATATTGTTTCTATTTTTACATTTTATAAACATCAAATTTATTGAGACATTTTGTTGCTTCTAATTATTACATTTGACTGATTGCAACTCTAATGAAAACATCATTGTATGAGAATATATGGATCTGCTTTCATTGAATTGAATTCATAGATATATTGAATTGTAGATCCAAACCATATGATCTATATGATTATATGGTTTAGATCTACCTAATTTATTTATAATTATAGTTAAAGTCCTCATGCTTCTGTAAAAGATTTTTCTCAAAAGATAAAAAATGTTATGCTATTTTGCTATTATAGTCTTGGAGGATTGCCGATTAGTTTGTTTAAATAATTATTCTATAACGTAAAACCGCCTAAGTTCGGTCACCATGTGACTTCAGTCATTTAAGAAAAAATACTAAAAAAGCATGCAAAACTCAAAATTTACAAACTTTTTTTTCTCAAATAATGTTTGTAATTAGTTCGTAAATATAAATCTATAAAAAAATTAATAATATTTATATGCAACCTGCTGAAATAATTCTTTAGCAAAACAACAATTTAAAAAGAATCACCAAATTAATTATATTTACAAAAAAAAAAATTATTAGTTTTTAAAAATTAACTACTTTTTTTAATAAAATTAGTAAAATTTTTAAATACTCTAACTTGGGTTATTCACAAATAAACAACAAAGGAGACAATTAGCAGTAATATTGTAAAATAATAAGTGTTGCAAATGTAAAGTTTACCAGTAATTTTACCTGTAAATTTCCCAGTAAATTTTGACATTTTTATTGGATAATCTTTTCAAATTTTTATTGAAATTACCATGTTTTGCATAATGAAATAATGTTATGATCAGATGTAGTTCAAGTAATGGCTGATTTGGCTTAATGACCCCGATCGATCACAGATCAAAAGATTTGGCTCAATGATCTCGATCAATCACAAATAAAAAAATTCAGACTATGATATTAGTTAATTGTTTTTGTGTAAATAATTTTTTGTATAAATTTGTTGTTTTATTATAGAAAAAAATATTGAATTATATCTTAATAATCAAATATCTATTTTTAGGAAATATTTCATGACTGTTATAGGTATATTATCATATTTATATATATATTATTAATGTATAACCATATAGTATCTATAGTGTAAATGTATATATTATAGTATTAATGTATAACTATATAGTATCAGTGTTATGCACTATTATATTATGTATTATGTTGTATATGTATTAATTATATAGTATAAAATTTATAGTATTAATGACAATATATTTATCATTGCATTACTATATTATTATATAAGTAATAATATGTTTTCTTTTTAGTATTATAGATTTTTTGTATACATTATTATTAATTTTTGTTTGCATACACTATACTAAGTACTCCATTTATAAACAAAATAATCAATATGAAATAAAATATTTCAATATGAAATCAAAGCAATGATTTAAACTTTAATGATTGTACGTTTAAATTTTCTTGCATTCTTATAAATAATGTAGTTGTGAAGTAGTTAGCTTCATGATTTACTTAGTTAAAGCCTCACTACATCTGTGGACTGGGCTCAACTTTTTTTTAATTTATCTGCCTATTTTGTTTAGGTTTGTCTTCTGGAGTTGTAGGGTTGAGTTAAATAGTCAAAGATCTTAGTGGGAGATCTTATTTCCCTAAAGATATATTTTTTATGTGAAAAAAAACTTCAAATCTAGTGTTATTTTATTATTTTGATCACAATAAGGGGGTGCCAACAGATATTTTACAAAAATATTGTCAGCAAAAGCTCAAAAAGCGTAGAAAAGCTCACCTAAAATGAAACTAGCGAGCCATGCGAGCTGCTTCTTTAAACAGCTTTTTACAAGAGCTTTCTGTTTTTGCGCAAGCTATTAGTTTTTTCATTAAAAAAATTGTTTATTAAAACAATCTCTCTGTTTGAAAAGATAAATTTCTTTTATTTACTAATTCTACTTCAACTTTGTATTATATAATATTAGTTTATAATTACATAATATATTATGTAATATTTATATTTACATTTATATTTACAAAATACTAACATTCTGCTTTACCAAAAATATAACAATTGATGCAATATAAAATAATTTGTACTAAAAATTGGACAAACTTTAGCCATATGTATAGTTAAAATGTAATCTTAAACACTACAATAAAAAATCAGTGATTGTTATGCAAAAAAAATTTAACAATCACATTTTGTACAAAAAAAGTCATTCTGAAACTTAAACTTTGTCTTTATTATTGGATGTAGTTTGCACAAATATTTTTAAATTTTCTTAATAATATCTAAAAATATATATAAATATATATTTATGTTTTACATTATATAAATATAAATATATTTTATATGCTTAACATTTTTATTTATTTGAAATTATAATGAATATTTAATATAATAACAAAAAATTTTTTTTATAATATTTATTTACTGCAAAAAATGTTTTTAAATACCAGCAATGTATACATATATTTTATTTTTAGTTGCCAGCCATGTATGCATTCATTTTATTTTTAGTTGCCAGCCATGTATGCATTCATTTTATTTTTAGTTGCCAGCCATGTATGCATTCATTTTGTGCAGGGTGTTATTCAGTTTGGAAGCTAGAGTCGTCACAATGTCCTACTGTATGTATTTTATAATATTTCAGTTTCTTGTATTTATTTTTAATATTTATTTAATCTCTTAAAAAGATTTGAAAAGTCATTTGCTATGGCAAAAAACGTGAAAATCTGTAATAGTGAAAATTTGCATTTAAAAAACTAAAATTTGCACACAAAAAAACTTCTGCAGTGCTGACCTAAGTAAAAATGAATAATAAATAAGTTAATAAGGGTGATAGATTGATTTAAATTGATAATACATTGTTATTTTTATAAACATATTTTGAAGTTTAATTTTTTTTTTAAAGTTTCACAAGAAAACATAATTTTAGTACAAACTATTGTCAATATTATAATAGATTTTAAAAAAATTTATTTTAGTTTATAAATATTTTAAAGTTATTATTTGTTAATATAAATTTTTTTATTATTTTCAATTTTATATTTATATAGTGTCGGAAGGAAGTGGAGTCTGTTTATAAAAATCATACACTGAACAATCTAAGTTTGGCTTACCTAAATCTCAATCCAAGTATGTTATTTTTTAAAAAATTTTAAAAAGGTTTACTACTGTAATACTTTACTTGTTTAATACTGTAATACTGTACTGGTGTAAAACTGTACTGTACTGTATTGTTGTAAATAAATATTTATAAAATTGTTGCAAAGAATTCTTATTATTGTTTTATTACTGTATTTACCAAAACAGTAAAATAGGTCTTATAAGTTTAGCGGCCTTTAGGTTTGAAACAAGCTCTGGACATATTTCGCGTCATGATAAGAAAGAAGGCGTGAACTTTCTATTTAAATGCATTTCCGCGGTGCTCTGTGACAAGACTGTTAGGTCTTCTTGAGGCACCTAAATAACAAAAAGAAAAAAAAAATTTAAAAACTCATCTATATAAATAATGTAGTGGTTTAATGTAGTGCATTATATAGAAGTGGAGAGGTTAAGGCTTTAAGAATCTTAAATTAACAAACACTTAATCTCTCATTATGCATTTAATAACTTACTTTCTGATCATCAATATGGATTTTGATCTACTTGTTCTTCCGCTGATTTAACAGTAATAACCGATAGGTTTAATCGTGCATAAGGCTTTCGCTCTCAACATTTCTAAATCCTTTGATAAAGTTTTGCATGCTGGTCATCTCCATAAGCTCTCTTCTTATTGTATATCAGGTAACATCTTTAAGATTATTAAATCCTTTCTTACCAATCCTAGTATAAAAGTTATCCTCCATGGACAGCACTCTTCAGGAGTTCCTCTACTTCAGGAGTTTCTCAAGGTTTGATCCATGGCCCTGTACTTTTTTTAATTTATATTAACAATTTCTTAGAAATTCTTGCATCTTAAGTGGCATTGTTCACTGATGATACTACTATTTAAGCAGTATCATCAGCAAACACTCAACACTCTTTAATTGCTGGGGGGGGGGGGGGAAGGTGTTTTAGCTTGACAAAGATCTCACTTATATAGCATGGAGCTTTCAGTTGCTAGTTAATTTTAACTCATATAAAACTTTTTTTCAGTTAGTCGTTATCACAACAATCTAGATTTTCTTATATTTATGAATAGTAATAAACAGTAATATACTTGATGTCATCTACCCTTCGTCTTCTAGGGTTAACTCTAAGATTGCATCTCTTTATTGTGCTTGCACTTTCTTACTCCAGATTCTATTTATAATTTCTATAAATCTCAAATCCCTTCTTGTATGGAATACTGTTGCCATATTGGAGCAAATGATGTCCTTTTCTCTTTTAGACAAGGTGTAAAAACGCATTGTAAACATAGTTGTACCTGCTCTTGCAGCCAACCTTCAACTATTGTCACATAGTCGTAATGTTGCTTCTCTTTCTCTTTTTTATAAATACTATAATAGGCTCTGCTCTAAAGAGCTA